CACGCCCCCTCAGGCCGAGGCGGCGGCGGGAGAGCAGCGCCCTCACGTGGAGACAGGCGGTAAAACCCTAAAGACGGAATTTTTTGTTAAAATACCAAAAAACCCCGATTTTTTTTGTTAAAAAAAACCAAAACAAAACCACCCAACAAAAAAACGACAACAAACAGTTTGTAAACCCGTCCTGGTTATTAATTATGTGGATATGGAGCTCGTCTGCTTTGGATGAGGCCTGGGAGAGCTCACGATGTCCACCTGGAGAGGAGAACTCTCCCGGGAGATGAGACCTTAGAGATGCTGCAAGTGCCCGAACAGGCTGCAGGCCAGCTGGAGAGGGATATGAGACAAGGGGGAATGGTTAGGTGAGATATTAGGAAGAAACCCTTCCCTGAGAGGGTGGAGATGCCCTGGCACAGTGTGAAATAAGTTATTTTATTATTGGCTTTTAGCAAATATTCAAATTAATATTATATGTGTTGTGTTAGAAAGTTATGCTGTGTTAATTCTCTTAAGTAGTGTGTTAAATACAGTTTTAGGTTATAACATAAGGTTAAAATAGAAACGATGCTATGTGAGATACTGTGCGTGATACCCACATCGCACTGAGGTAGCAGCCACAGGGACACCCAAATCTTTCAGAGAAAGAGAATTTATTGCTCCATTATCGAGTTCTTCTCGCCTCACTCAGCCCTGAAGACTCAGTCAGGATTAAGAGGAAGAAGCTGACACTGCCCAGACAGAATCCTGGGTTTGAATGGAATTTATGCACCATGGATGAAGTGTATGAATATGCAACAGGCTGTTGCTTTTAAGGGTTAATCCTCTGTTAACGTGGCTCCTTTTTCGGGCTTATTTTTGCCCAGAAAACATACCCAGACTGTCTGTAACTCTTTGTCTTTATTGTCTCATATTGTCCTAATCCAAATTGTCCAAATTTTTATTATTAAGTTTTATTTAATTATATTGCTATTTTTATAACCATTTTATTACTGTTCAGCTTTTAAAATCTTTACACTCTTAAAATTTTCTTATTAACCATTTTATTACTATTCAACTTTTAAAATTTTAACACTCTTTAACGTTTCCTGCACTCTTTTGAAGCAGACACAGCAGCATCATCATCTCCTGGCGTTTGGAGTTTGCTGTGTTACAAGTGGTGCCTGTTTGTCTGCTGCCACCTCTCACAAGGTGACACCTGCAGACTCTGCTTTTATCTCAAGCACACATATTATATTAAAACTATACTAAAAGAATAGAAGAAAGGATTTCATCAGAAGGCTAGCTAAGAATAGAAAAAGAAAGAATGGTAACAAAGGCTTTTGTCATGGAGAGTCGAAGCCAGCTGACTGTGATTGGCCATTAATTACAAACAACCACAAGAGACCAATCACAGATGCACCTGTTGCATTCCACAGCAGCAGATAACCATTGCTTACATTTTGTTCCCGAGGCCTCACATCTTCTCAGGAGGAAAAATCCCAAGGAAAGGATTTTTCAGAAAATATCATCTGCCCAAGAGAACCCCAAAGGAGCTGGGCTTTTCCTCTGCAAAAACCTCTGCAAACTCCAGTGAGCCCAGCCCTCAAGAAAAACAGCCTAAAAACCCATATTTATGCATTCTAAGTGATATCCTGCCCTCGGGGAGGTGAGAGAAAATTTAGTTTGTTCCTCCAGCCCTGATAAGATTCTCTGCAGGTGCACCACTGCTAATCTGCACAGATCAGCACCAAGGAAACAGAGAGTTTGGTGTGTTTATTATGGCTAAAAGGCTCAGGTAGAAGGGAATATCTTGCTATGAATACCTGGCTAGAGAGGAAAAGCCACACCAGGAGGGACAGAAGCCATTTGGGTGAGGGGACAGCAGTGGCATGAGAGCAAAGGGGGGCAGGCTGGCCCTGAACCCATTTCCATTTTATTTTGGTCAGTCACACATCCTAGCTAGAAAGTGGCTTTCCCACTATTCAGATGATTATTTGAAATATCAGAGCGGCTTGGCCTCTCCTCACAGGCATCAGGATTGGTGCTGAGGCTGTGCCAGGGTCACTGCTGTCCCACAGAAGGGAGCTGCCCTTCCCAGCAGAGGCCAAGCCTCTCCGGGCACTGCTAAAACTCTCACACCTCCTTTAAAGCCCCTTGGAAGGGGGATGGAGAGAGAAAAAGCCAAGTTATTCATGGCTGTGCAGGGCTCCAGGGTCCTCTGGGGGTTGGCATTGCCCTGTGCATTGGTTACCTGTTTATGAGAGAGGAACGGTCAGAGATCCAGCAGGACCAATCAGTTCAGGTTCTGATGCAAAAGTCGAGTCTGAAAGCAGTCAGGTTTGAAAAAAAGGGAGGGCTGTTTCCTCTTTCCAGAAAGAAATGGGAGGGGCAATTATAACTGTATAATTATATACTGTCTGAATGGAGTGCCCCAGGATCCCTGGGACCATCTGGGAGTGCCCAGGGAGAGGGACCTGAGGAGGTGGCTTTGGGATGGAGAGAGTGTGTTAATATTATTATTATTATTATTATTATTATTATTATTATTATTATTATTATTGTTATTGTTATTGTTATTGTTATTATTGTTATTATTGTTATTATTGTTATTGCTGTTGGTATTGTTATTATTATTTATTTTTATTTTTATCATAATTATAATCTTCATTATCATCATCATTATCATCATTATTGCGTCTATATTTATTTATATTTATATTTATATTTATATTTATATTTATATTTATATTTATATTTAATTTGTCTAATTTTTGTATTAATAGTAATATTAATGATATTCGAATTCATATTTTAATATCATATTACGATATTAGTACTATATTAATATATTAAACTATATCAATATATTGATGTTATATTAATAATTATGTTAATATTAAATGTAGAGTAAGAATTAATATTAATGTCTATATTCTTGAATATAATAATAGTAATGATGAAATATATAATCTTTATTAATAATATTATATATTATAATTATATTATAATATAATAATGTATCATAAAAATATATAATAATATTTATATTTATATATAAATATAATATATATTATATATTATATATTATATATTATAAATTATATATTATATATTATATATTATATATTATATATTATATTATATATATAATATAAATATATATAACATATAAATAATATATGAATAATATATATAAATATGTATTATTTCATTTATATATAATATTATTTTATTATATATATTATATTAAAACTATACTAAAGTAATACAGAAAAGGATTTCATCAGAATAATAATAATTATTATTATATAATAATAAGTCGCTGGTTTCTATTATTATTAGTAGTAGCAGTATTATTATTATTTAATAATAATTCTTATTATATAAGAATTATTATTGTATAAGAATTATAAGAATAAGAATTCTTATTACATAAGAATTATTCTTATTGTATAAGAATTATATAATAATTATTTAATAATATTTATTTAATAATAATAATTCTAATAATTATAATAATGATAATAATGATGATGATGATTATGATGATGACAATAATTATAGTAACAATCCCCTCTCTCCCAGCATCCTCTCCTCAGGGTCCCTAGCCATGTCCCCAAACCCTTCTGTGACCTCCAAAGGTGTGGAGAAACCCCCAGAAGCGTGGAGACCCTCTGGAAAAAGCAGGAATCCCCCAAAAGCCTCCTCAAACTGGGGATCCCCACCCCGAAAGCAAAGCAGCAGCGTTGTCCCACATAACATCCCTCAGGAATGGGCTCCAGGGAGGGCAGCAGGTGGGAAAATCCTCGGGTTTGGCCCCGCCAGAGAGGTCTGGAAAAGAGTTTTAATTAATTTTTGGACAGGTTCTGGAATTTTGGAAGGATTTTGGAGAGGGTTTTGAAGATATTTTGAAGATATCTTCAAGTGAGAGCTGCGGGGTGCCAAGGTGAGCACATTCGGGGGAATGGTGATAGTATGGGGTTAAATTTATTAAAATTTTAGGGATTTTAAGCGATTTTAAGGGATGCACGGGAAGGATCGATTGATAAATTTCCAGTTGTATCTGAAAAGGGACTCATCGTTTTGCAG